TTATGACTCCTATTATTCTCGGGTATGGCCATTCCTCTTATTTATAGGTGTGGGCTTATAGAATCGGAAGTATCGGAATCACAGACCGTTGTGTTAGGGCCTATACAAAGAAGGATAGGTGGAGATAGATGTTAATAAGTCAGACTTAAATAGCTAACTTATGCTAGAACAGCCGTATTAGCTACCTAGGTGGATATTGTGCTGTTTAGTCTTCAATCGTCAAACTAAATTGTGTTCTATTCAGATCAATACAGCCAGCCTACTTGGATTCAATCAATTTACTATACATGGAAGGATAGGGTTTCAACCTATTTTCTCTGAATCATCTACATTTGCCTTTTTTAGGGCCACCCCGGTTATCTAATTAGGTCGGTCCAATATTCTAACGCAGTGATGCACCTACGAAAGTTACTTGTCCGGATTAGTGTTTTCAAGCAGTAACGCCTTCTCCTTTCTCAATATCTGCCTGACTTGGCGACCACTTATCTTGGAGGTCCTTGTTGAGCGTTAGCTCATAGACATCCTTTGGCCACCACTCTCCCCAGCTCGTGAGAAAGATTTGCTCTGGATCTTCGGGTAAGTCGTCTCGGGTGAAGGCCCTAAGTACGCTTTGCGCACCTGTTTTTCGTTAACTTTCTCTGGCCGGACATGGGGGGAAACTGAATTATTAGGAACGCACCTTCGGGCACACTTTTCGCATCGGGAAGGCCATCCGGCATTTTCATATCACTCCCTCTTCCAAGGCCCGTATTTGGGATTAATCCAGGAGACACGGCCACAACTTGGCAAGTGCCCTGGAGTTGACGGCGCCACCAGTGGGCACTGAGGAGTTGGATGAACTTGGTAGCGGGGTAGACGCTCTTGTCTGTCTCTTTAGCGGCCAGCATCTCATTCTCCAATGTTGCTTGTATCGAATATAGTTAGCTCTATTAATTACTGTGAACACATTGGCACTGTCCTTACAGGGATCTTTCACCATTCGTACGGCGCCGGAAGAGACAACCACGACGCGGGTCTTGGACTGCTCTAACTTAGGTCGCAATAGATGGAGGAGATAATGTTGTGCTACAACTGGCGTTAGTTGTAATCGTGACAATACCATTTTAGAGGGTCGAGACAAACAGAGATGGTTGACTAGATATGGCTCAATCCACTTTGAGCCATAAGGTCCTTTCTCGGCTGGTTTCTTGGTCATAGCGGTTCCTGCATTCAGCATGAGGTAGTCAATGGGGTTCGTACCCAGCTCCTCGAGAGTCTTTTGTGAAAACACCTTGACCGTTTTCATGCTATTTAACTCAAGCGGGAAGATGGTAATGGTGTGTTTGCTGTTGTCGTAGTTGAGCGCATTGTAAGCATCTGTTGTCGTCTTGAGATCCCGGGCGCCAAGAATGAAGTTGTAAGGCTGCGACTGGAAAAGCAGTTGTTTGATGGCCTCGAAACCCTACACGAAGTTAGTAGAGGTTTGTCGTAATTCATGGGTCGGTCTGCAGCTGTCGCTTACGATGCCGGAGGTTGCGCCGGTAGCAACGACGGTCTTGACTATAGTCGACATTGTAACTTGATTGTTTTTGGGTTATCTCTTAGGTACGTTTTTGACGCTTTCTGGGTTTTCAAGTGATTTCAAGTTGATGGTAGTCTCTTTTTATATATGATCAAAGTCCAAATTATGTTTTGTCAGCAATCCCACACGAAGGCGGCGATAGTTGGTGTTAAAGCCGGTGGTTTCATTACCTATTAACATCATCAGCGAATTACTAATTGACTATGCGTTAGCCTGGTTAACTCCGCTTGTTACCGTTTCACATAAATAAGGTTATAATTGATATCGGAGAGGATCTACTATGGGCTGAGGTTATATGATTTAATATAGGAATATGGAAGCCGTTGTAAAGCTGTATATTATAGATGTTGTATTATGGATGTTGTCATTGCTGGTACACTACCTCTTAGGTAACATACCCATGCGGGCAGCTTGCTTCTATTATCCTCACCATTGGTTTGATGCATATCTACCTACTCTGGATGCTAGTAAAAAGAAATGCAACAACCGGGAATGCGCTTTCTGAAATTCTTCGACGGTTTTCTATGGCTGGAACCGCAATATGCACCAATACAAGAGTGGATTAGCGCCTCCCGAAGCTCTCCTCCTCCAATAGCCGGACCGCTATTTTGTAGCCGACGTCGAAATTTTTGAAGCTTTTCCCCCAGTTTCCCCAAACCCATCCACCCTTTCCACCATCTCAAACTCCTCCCTCCCTCTTATTCTCTCGTAATCCGTCTGCTTGTGTCGTTGTAGTTTTATCATATCTCTTCTAATACATATACCGTCAATCACAATGCAGCGTGCCCTCTCATCACGGACCAGGGCTTCCGTCCTGTCCTCGGCGGCTACTAAGTACCGCGCCGGTGCTGGCTTGTCGCAGCAGCTTCGATTCGCACACAAGGTTCGCATTCCTTTTCTTTCGAGTCCACTAGGTTTCTTGAAGCATTATATGTTGACTTGTGCATTCTAGGAGCTCAAGTTCGGTGTCGAGGGTCGAGCATCACTGCTTGCCGGTGTTGAGACGCTAGCAAAGGCTGTTGCCACCACATTAGGTCCTAAGGGTCGAAATGTTCTGATTGAGTCTAGCTATGGCTCACCAAAGATAACAAAAGGTATTTGAGGCCCTGTCTTGTATAACGAAGAACAATTTCTTGGGAGTTATGCTAACGCTGCTTGGGATAGACGGTGTCACCGTTGCTAAGGCTATCAGCTTGCAGGACAAATTCGAAAACTTGGGAGCTCGTTTACTACAAGACGTCGCCTCCAAGACCAACGAGTCCGCCGGTGACGGTACTACTAGCGCTACCGTACTGGCCCGAGCCATCTTCTCCGAGACTGTCAAGAACGTTGCTGCCGGTTGCAACCCCATGGACCTCCGCCGTGGTACTCAGGCCGCTGTAGATGCTGTTGTCGAATACCTCCAGAAGAATAAGCGTGATATTACTACCAGCGAGGAGATCGCCCAGGTTGCCACTATTAGTGCGAACGGAGACACCCATATCGGTAAGCTGATTGCTAATGCCATGGAGAAGGTTGGCAAGGAGGGTGTTATTACTGTTAAGGAGGGAAAGACTTTGAATGATGAGCTAGAGGTTACCGAGGGTATGCGATTCGACCGCGGTTTTGTTTCTCCCTACTTTATCACCGATGCCAAGGCCCAGAAGGTCGAGTTTGAGAAGCCTCTGATCCTCCTTTCTGAGAAGAAGATTTCGGCCGTCCAGGATATCATCCCTGCCCTCGAAGCCTCAACACAGATGCGCCGACCCCTTGTCATTATTGCCGAGGATATCGATGGTGAGGCTCTCGCCGTCTGCATCCTAAACAAGCTCCGTGGCCAGCTGCAAGTTGCCGCAGTTAAGGCTCCCGGCTTCGGTGACAACCGCAAGTCGATCTTGGGCGATATTGCTGTTCTCACCAACGGAACCGTCTTCACTGACGAGCTCGACATTAAGCTAGAGAAGGCTACTCCTGACCTGCTCGGTTCTACCGGTTCCATCACAATTACTAAGGAGGATACCATCATTCTTAACGGCGAGGGTAGCAAGGACTCTATCGCTCAGCGTTGCGAACAGATCCGTGGCGTTATGTCTGACCCCAGCACTTCTGACTACGAGAAGGAGAAGCTGCAAGAGCGCCTAGCGAAGCTCTCCGGTGGCGTTGCTGTTATCAAGGTCGGCGGCTCATCAGAAGTTGAGGTTGGTGAGAAGAAGGACCGATTCGTGGACGCTTTGAACGCTACTCGCGCTGCTGTCGAGGAGGGTATCTTGCCCGGTGGTGGTACTGCCCTCCTCAAGGCCTCGGCCCATGCTCTAAAGGATGTCAAGACCTCCAACTTCGATCAGCAGCTTGGTGTTAGTATCATCAAGAATGCCATCACTCGACCCGCTCGCACTATTGTCGAAAACGCCGGTCTAGAGGGCTCGGTTGTCGTTGGTAAGCTGATGGATGAGTTTGGTGCCGACTTCAACAAGGGCTTTGACAGCTCCAAGGGTGAGTACGTCGATATGATCCACGCTGGTATCCTTGATCCTTTCAAGGTTGTCCGAACTGGGCTTGTTGATGCTAGCGGTGTTGCCTCGCTGCTTGGTACCACAGAGGTTGCTATCGTTGAGGCTCCGGAAGAGAAGCCTGCCCCACCTATGGGTGGTATGGGAGGTATGGGCGGTATGGGTGGCATGATGTAAAATGTTGCATCGGTGACACCTGACCCTACTTCTCTTGTATCAAAAGCAAAAAATCTGGGCTAAAGGGGGCATTAAATTTGGTGTTTGGGGGATGAATTTTTGACATCTCATGTGGCCATGTAATCTCTTCCTCTCCCCTCTTCTCATCACGTGTATATTGATTGTTCACACTACGACTACTGATATCCCGAGCGGCGTTGTAACAGAGTATTGTATACTATAGTCAGTAGTTAGCTTGGCAACTACTGCCTACTACTTAGTGGTTCCTAGCTCGGAAACCTAAGAAAAAAAAACCGATCAAGCTAAATCACTCCATTCTACCTGGACATTCGTGATCTTTTATTTGTCAAGCGTTGTCTGCATAGGTCGTTTATTGGTTGTTGCCTGATGTGAAAAATATTCACTAGAATGACATTTTTATTCCGAAGAATCCGAATACATAGACTTAGGCAACATATTATCATGGGTGATGCGTAACTACGCGTCTATAGGCCTACGTGATTTAACTGCTGAATGCTAGTATATGACTGCCTTGGAGACCTGATTTTTAAGGGCGCGATGCAAACATACTATGGAGCACGTTAACTAATATAACTATATGATCGATTTCTAAGGCCTAGGCGAATCGATATGGAAGCGTCAACTTAGCTATTTTAATGATACTTTTGCGTCGAGCTAAGAAGAAGCGAAGTGCCTCAGTTTACGTGGGTATTGTCTACCATTGCCGGAATACTGTGTAAAAATAGACGTTGAAGAATCATAATCTAAGACGTGTCTTGATGGCGCAGTTGGCTAGCGCGTTGGTCTCATATTGCTATAATATGATCTAGTTAAACACTAGGTAATCCAGAGGTCGTGAGTTCGAGCCTCACTCAGGACATCAATTTTCTTGATTTTTGCTTTGATTCTCGCTTGTGTAAGTAATAGTTTTTGCATAGCTTACTATATAATACGTATATATACATATTCTCATAATGAACACCCGTTTCTTCTTCTTCTTCTTCTTCTTCTTCTTCTTCTTCTTCTTATTATTCTCCATTTTACTTTGATTGGTTTACTTGTTGGGCATCTTCAAATCATAACTGTTCTGTTCATTGGATGTCAAATTGTTAGGCACAGAGAGAGAGGGCTCTGGTGTTCCCGATTGCTGTTGGGGCACCTGCAAGTAAATGTACATATGTTGTACAGTGCATTGGATGACGCATGTGTGTAGGTATCAGCTACCTCTGCTACATCTGCCACCTATAGTGCCAGGTCAAATTGGTAGGTACTTAAGTTACCCCTCGTTAGCCAAGCCAACAACGTGCTACTGTATCTCACGGTCAACCAGCCAAGCCCCGCCGACTCATCACCCCACTAAGCTCCATTTTGAGTATTTTGTGTAGGTAGTGTACTGACTGTACTATGTACTGTTCTCGTTCTCGTCTGCCTGCGATGATGATCACTGTGATCCCGGCAGACTCAGGTTAGCTAGCTGCCTTAAGTACCTAGCTGCCTACCTATTTACTACTTAAAGTACCTCATAGTAGGTACCTATCTACGGGCCGTAGTAGTACCCTAGAGACCCGGGTAGGTAATAGTTGTTGTTGTTGTCGTTATTGTTTGGGTACGCTAGGTACTACATCTTATGCCCTGAGGGGCACTTTTTCACTGACACAGTGTGTGTATATTTATCCCAGGACGTCACTCTTTTTTTTTTAAACAAGTCCGACATGTTCCCCTCCATTGCGACAAGCGTCCCACCAAAGCACCACAACCACACACATCCCGCTTCCATCCATCCATCCATCCAGCCTGTCAGGTATCTAGTCTCTAACTAACCTGACCTCTCTCTTTCCCTCATCTACCACCCCTTATTTTTACCACGGTTGCTTGGTCAAAACCCAACCTTGCCTCGTAACCATTGTAAACCACGTCAGCGAGCCTCAACTCTTCTATTCACTTCTGTTAGTTCTGCCTGCTGCAACCCTCCCTGCTGCGAGGCTCTCTTCCTATATATATCTACTCGTGTCTCTATGCACATTCAGTCTTGTCGGCGCTGACCACACTTCATAGCTCTCCGAATCTCTCCTTTTCGCCTTCCACTAGTCCACCGCCATCATGGTAAGAACCTACTTTCGCCGCCTCGTATGAATTGAATACGAGTGCTTCTTTGCTAACTCGCCATTTTATAGTCTCAATCAGGGTTTGTTCTCCCTCTCCAAGTTTCCATTGTCGCCGCTGCCCGCCTCCCCGCACGCGATCGTATGAGCAATCATGCGCTGCGCTACCGACGTTCGGAATTCTTATTGGCAAATGTAGGTAGCCGTAGCTAACAGGACCAACGCATCTAGAGCATCCGTCTCACAAGAATGCATATCTGCATTCAACGACCTCAAGCTCGCCAAGAAGTACAAATACATCATCTACAAGCTGTCGGACGACAATCGAGAGATCGTAGTCGAGGACGCCTCTGCGGATAAGGACTGGGAGGTCTTCCGTGAGAAGCTCATCTCGGCCACCTCCAAGACTAAGAGTGTAAGCTGCAGTTATACCCGCAGTTCACTCTCTACTATACTCACAATCCTACTAGGGCGCCGTCGGCAAGGGCCCCCGATACGCCGTCTACGACTTTGAGTACAGCCTCGCTAGTGGAGAGGGTTCCCGGTTCGTAACATACTTTAGAACTCTAGACCCACCATGCTCATAATAGACATAGAAACAAGATCACCTTCATTGCCTGGTCCCCCGATGATGCTGGTGTTATGGTTAGTATACCCTACTCTGTATCCTCATACGTGAGGTTCGGGACTGACAGCCCCCGCAGCCTAAGATGGTGTATGCCTCATCCAAAGAAGGCCTCAAGCGCTCACTTAACGGCGTCGCCGTCGAGCTCCAAGCCAACGACCCAGATGATATTGAACATGATACAGTGCTGAAGGTTGTCAGCAAGGGCCTTGCTGGTTAAGCGTGCCAAATGCGGCTATGGTATGAATTAGACGGAAAAGATCAACGGCCTGGCTGGGTAATTCTGGGCTGCGAAGTTCACGATACCGCGACGAGGGGAAATCTGTTGCAAGTCTGTGCCACAGACTCACCACGAGCTGTAGTTTGATAGCCTATTCCGGGGGTTGCTCGGCACCAAAACTCCAGATTCGATGTTGACCAATGATACACTACACCTACACCAAATTAATCGTTCCTGGACTTTACATAATTCGTGCCGCATAGTTAAACCGCATGGCAGTCCGCTAACATCTAGTCCTCTATTTATGGCGTGTTGTTGGGGGGATGGTGAAATGAAACGGGCATTTGCCTTAATACCCAACCTCATTTAGTCTTCCATGCCTCTTGGAATGTATTTGTGAGCTCCTCTGCTAATTTTTCATCTCGTATCCGTTGCAATAAGAAACCCTTAAGATCGCCCCAGAATTCCTCTGTTTGTAGGACATCCGCGCCACTTAAACCTTGGGCGACCTCGCCCTGTGTTTCTGGCTTCACCACTACTGAGGCTGCAGCGGCTGCGCCCCCAATAACCATGACAGAAAACTCGACGGCCGTGTCGTCCTCGCCCACGAGATCTTTCAATACTTTGCTATCAGGGACAGGTTTCTTCTTATGTAGAATCTTGATCTTGTCCTCGGCGATGCCCGTCTCTTTAGCTACAGAAGTCTTGACATCGTGGACCGAGGTATTGATAGTTTGAGAAGAAAGTCTTAGGTCGAGCGGTGGGTTGCGGAGGGATTTGACGGTTACGACGAGGCTTCGTTCTTGGCCTGGCGCTACGCTTGTGCCTTTGCGTTTGCTTATCGCTTTCGGCATCTTGGGGAGGATGTACTGTTTACCTATTAGTTCCCATCTGTATTTACGTTGCTAGAACTGTAGGCCGCCGAACTGCGACTGTTGTATGAATGGAGAGTACATACAGCGCCTCGCGCTTGGTAGGTTTTGGGATCCTCGACATGGTCTAGCGATATCTTGATTGGACGCCCGTCCAGAGCGGCGAGGAATGATTTAGCAAAAGACACTTCTGTCATTTTGCCTAAATTTGCAAGAAATGGGGTTTTGTGTATTTATGCGAAGGAGTTTACAGATCTATAGGAATTGAGCTGCAGAATAGACGATTTTCTTCTGGCTGTGACGAGGCCAAAGCCATGAATTGCATTGAGACCAGGCGCACCCCCACTTTGTGGCTGGAGCTCCCGCCAGCCCCACGAGTAAGTATCTAACCTAGCCATGTGGATGGTACCACTAGTGTACCTCTGTGGTGGGGATAGATCCCTATCGGCTTATCAATGTGGGCCCTCTTCAAAAAAAGTTGATGGAGCAAATCCTAGTCGGAAGCTTGAACAGCATCCTCTCTGCCGGTCTACCCAATCTGTATCCTGTACAAAACACGAATTCGTGGCAATTGGGTCTTTACGTGAACACAATTTGCCGAAATGGGTGTTGGGAATCGATTTAAGCACCAGGGTGTGCCGGAGCCTCTTTCCGAAGCGCATTTTGCGAAACTCAAGCGCAAAGCTGGACATCCAGTCGACGATGTTCCCGAGACGAAGAAGCGAAAGGCGCAAAACGGCAAAGCTAATAGCAAGGCTAATGGCAAATCAAACGATGCGAAAGCGACCAAGCCTCTCCCGACGCGGAGTAGCAAAGCAGCCAAGCCAAAATCCAAGAAAGGCAAACCTGAACCCGAGCTCGACCTCGAAGATATGAGTGATGGAGTCGGAGGCGGGTTTAGCGATGAAGATATGCCAGGTCTAGAAGATGATGATGCGCTTGTCGACGACTTCTTAGGATCGGACGATTCTGTTTACGACTCGGAGGGCGAAGGGGAGCGCAGAGCTATGTTCTCTGAGGACGAGGATGAGTCCGACGGTGATGCCGAGGAGAAACTCACGGCTGCCAATATTGTCGGCTTATCCCGGAAGTTGGACAAGGAAAAGGCCGAAGAGGAAGCTGCCGCCGAGGCCGAATTTCAAGAGACTATACAGACCAACATCGATATTCCTCATGTTCTCGAAGGCGAAGAAGAGCAGAATAAGGCGTTGTTGGCTCCTGATCTGCAGCTGCTAAGACAAAGGATATCGGATACGATCCGTGTACTCGACGACTTTGCGAATCTTTCAGAATCGGGTACCTCGCGATCAGAATATACTGCACAGTTGCAGAAGGATATTTGCGCATACTACGGTGAGTTACTGGCTGCACCTAAAAAAGCACGGGTTGGCTGTTGGCAGGAGTAATACTAAACTCTAATAGGATATTCGGAATTTCTGGCAGAGAAACTGCTGGGTTTGTTCCCTCCGGTAAGTTTTCACATATGCGGAACATATCCCTCTGCTCTACATACTAGTTCAAATAATCAGCACTAACCGACTTTGCAGAGAGAGGCGCTCGCATTTTTTGATGCTAACGAGACGTGAGTGGTATTCAGGCGTATTTTCATCTTTTTTGCGCCAGGTGTAGGCAAGGAATTACTAACTTGCGATTTTAAAGCCCTCGCCCCATTGTCATAAGGCATGTATTTGTGTCTGGAAACCGCTAGCACTTACCTTTGACTAACAAGTTATCAGGACGAATACTTTGAAGACGAGTAGAAGAGAGCTCGCCTCTGCTCTTATCAACCGCGGCGTAACGCTTGAGCCAGTAAGTGGATTCCCTTATTACCCCTTTTGGCAAGTTTCAGCGTTATTGCTTATACGAAATGTATTGATATTTATACCATTTTGACACCCGCTAACATTTCTCTCTTTTCAACAGGTTGGGAAATGGTCTAAGGTTCGTATTAATCGCAAGAGAGGCCTGATTTTAAGGCTTCTCTTTAGAAATCGCCCCGCCCCCAGCAAAGCTGAAAGATATGCGTGCAAGGGAACTAATCTGAGAATATTATAGGTTGGT